GTTATTTTTAGAACAAAGGGCTGTTGTATATTGTTGTTGATGTCTGGCAAGTTGCGACCTTGTGTGGGTGTTTATTTGTAATGCGATTTGTTTGACCGTCTTCCTTATTCTTTATCTTTGCTTATTGCACTTTGCAGATTAAAATACCGTAATTTATAATCCATACTTGTTGCAAATTAAATTTTTTGAACTTCAATAGTACCATTGAATAAAGCTCTTTATTCAATGATAGTACCTATTACATATTATTAGTATTAGTTTAGGGCCGGTTGCACAAAGACAGTTTAAACCTAGCTTGGAATTAACCAATGGATTACGGTCTAGGATTGGTTGAAATTTGACGTTTTGTCAAATTTCAACTAATCATATGTCTTAATCCATTGCGTTAATTTAAACGAAGTTTTTTTTTTTTTTGTTTTTTTTTTTATTAAGGCTTTTCGGGGTCATGCCCATTTTGCCTACGATGTAGTTACCTCAAACTAGGGATAGACAGTGGTTTTAACATTTCACGCACAGGGGCCGATCAGTGCGACTTTGTACCACACATAGGATGGCCACGGAAGGTTCAAATACATGTAAGGATATGGACACAGATGAATGTAACGGTTACAATACTATGGACGCACATAAAGTTACAGTTTTAGTTTAATTTCTCTTACATAATCAATGATGGCATCGTAGATTGGTTTCCGGCAGCTATGTAGTAAGGTCGTGATATTTGTGGGAAATGCTACGCCTTTTTCGCTTAGCTTTTCTAATAGGTTCCTAATTTTGGCCTCACGCTTAACACAACTAAAAAACAGATGATTCAAGTCGCCCTGGGGATCTCCGCAATCGCAGTTTGGGGAGTCTAGGATACCAATGGGCCGGATATTTACCGTGCCCAAACTTTAACCTTGCTATGGTAGTATAATAGAATCTAGAAATCTGCATGTTTTTGTACCAGTGCTCTTTAACAAGGTTAGGATGAATGATGGAGTAGTGTGTTTTTTAATTGAGTAAGCGGTTTTCCAGTAATTTTCCCATTGGAGATAAACAGTGTTTAATTTAATTAGTCGTACGACGTCAGACTTGGAGAGAACATTCGTCATGCATCGTCCATTTTCCACGCTATCTTTTGCTAAGGCATCAGCTGTCTCGTTGTGTTGAATGCCCACATGCCCCTTTACCCAGTATAGCTGTATTGTGCTCGACATTTTTCGAAGGTGAATAATCTGCAGTGTAATCTCTTGTAATATAGGATCTAGTTTGTCATAGCTCGTCTTCGCCTTTATTGCTTGGAGGACTCCAAGGGAGTCTGAAAATATTATCGCGTGCCTGATCTTCCTTTCCACAGAATACTTTAGGGCTTCTAATATTGCGAACGCTTCAACGGTAAATATGGAGCATGACTTGCTTAGCTGAAATTTAGCCGAGTATGAATTTCGGCTGTCATAAAAAGCACAGCCGCAACCTTTCTCAGTTTTTGAACCGTCGGCAAAAATCAAGGTAGCTCGCGACAATTCATTTGTTATATTGTTAAACAGTTGTCTATCATGTTGAGCTATGCCATTGAATGGAGGATATATTATCTCAATTTCTTGCATAAAGTCCAGAAAACTAAAGTTATTTGGAATTGGTGGTGATCGAAGGTTATTTGGGGTTTCCTTTAGTAAGGCTGCTGTGAGAGGAGGAGATGGCTTTTTTCGCCAGTAGTCTGCAGTTTGGTCAAGGACGAGCAAATTGGATATCTTGACGATTATGTGGTTTAAATTGTTAGTTTTAAGTTTGATTATGTATTTCTCAGCAAGGAACTGTCTCCGGATATATAAGGGAGGCTCGTTTGCTTCAACTTGCATTGCTAGCGTCGGTGTAGATATCATTGCTCCCGTACATGTCCTTAGAGCTTTGTTTTGAATTATATCTAGACGTTTTAGTTGAGATTTGGGAGCGTTCCCATATAAAAGGCAACCATAATCAAGACGTGCTCTGATGTAACTTTTATACATTAAAAGCGCTGTATGAATATCACAACCCCATCCCACCTTTGTTAACACTTTGAGTATGTTCAATGACTTTTCGCATTTTATTGTGAGGTAATTAATGTGTTCGTTCCATTTTAACTTGTTGTTGATAATCAATCCCAGATATCTGATAGACGTCCGTAGATTATATTCGACATTATCCAATCTGATGAAACCGGTAGGGATGTTCCTCTGTCTAGCAAACAGCACTACAGAAGACTTTTCTTTGCTCACTTCAAAGCCGTTATGTAAGAACCACTTATTTGATTCACTCACCGCAGTAGACATCTTGGCAACAACGCCATTTAACTCTTTGTCAGCAGCTAATAGGCATATGTCATCTGCATACTGTATGACCGTTACTTTGTTTCTAAATTGTTCGTGGAAGTCGTGCGTATATACATTAAACAAGATAGGACTTAACGTTGAACCTTGTGGCAGTCCTAACGCTATTGTTCTGGGTCCTAAGAGGGTATTGTTGGGTGTTTTCAGATATATGGTTCTGTTTCTGAACAGGTTTGATATAATCCCAGCTGCTTTCTTAGGAATCCCGATTTTACACATTTTTTCCTCCAGTATGTCTAGGTCAACGTGATTGTATGCATCTTTAATGTCTAGAAAGAGGCCGCCCGTGTAATACTGGTGTGATAGATTAGTCTGAATTTCCGTGATTAGGTCAGATAACGCTTCCATGGTACCTTTATTTCTCCGAAATCCGTATTGCCTGGGTGGTAACGCAGGTGATCCTTCTAACCACCATTCGATCCTCGTTTTGATCATTCGTTCGAACGTTTTATACAAACACGATAGCAGGGAAATAGGGCGATATGATTTGAATTCGTTAGGATTCTTGTTGGCCTTTAAAATAGGTGTCACCACAACTACTTTGAAGGATGCTACTTCTTGACCGTCACACCACATATTGTTATACGCTGATAACAGTAATTTCTTCCACACCTCAGGCAAATACGCTATCATGTCGTAGGTAACATTATCGTGCCCAGGAGCTGTATTTTTTGTAGTTTTTAAGGCCCCGTTAAGTTCTATCGCTAAGAATGGTTTAAGTAAAGGGACTGCGTTTGTGCAACCGGCCCTTATTAAGTGTAATGTGTAATAATTGACCTATACTATACAGGGTGATTCAAATTCAAAGGCCACCGTGGGGATCTCGGGAACTGTAAGAGATAGGTAGTTTACATTTGACAAAGTTACCCTTGATGGTAACATCATCTAGTTTTAATAAGAAATAACGTTAATTCGTAAAAACGCAAGAAACTACTTACGTACGTTACTTAAGACAAAGGCAAAAAAGATGTTTTACAAGCATTAAAAACATTGATGTGTACATTTTTGAAATCAGAAAAAAATTCTCTATCAAATCACACAAAAAGTAAAAATTACTTCCATAAGAAACAAAGTTGATGATAGTTAACCGGAGACGAAACGTCAAACTTCAAATTTAAAGTAGCATCTTGTAGAGGGAAAAAAGTGGCCATAATAATGTGTCATTTATTATTAAATATCTTTGTAAATAACTATTAACTTCAGTAAAAAACAAAAACGATTTTCAAAATCTCGTTTTTTCCGGATATCTCCGAAAGTAGTCAGAATTTCAGTTTCAAAACTGTTTTTGTTAAGCATCAAAATACACAACTTTGCCAAATTTACCACCTACCTATCTCTTACATTTCCCGAGATTCCCATGGTGGCCCTCGAATTCGAATCAGCCTGTCAATTACTAATTTACAAAACACCATCCCTCGAATGTAAGACATTGGGAACAAATGTATATTTAGGTATAAACGGCTAAAAAATTTAAAAAAAATCGGTATACCGTATGTCCCCGGATTGACTTTACAAGAAGAAAAACTTTTACTATACTTTTTGACAAAAATCCATTCTCCATAAAAGCTTTTGCTTGTTCTAATTCGAAATGTCCCTACCGTTTCAGAGAAAAATATAAAAAAAACGAAAATATGGTTGAACTTTTCCAAGTCCTAAAAATCAAAACGCGTCTTTACTGTAATAACATTTCGTTAGTTACAAAGTCTTCGTTACCTGTTATTTGAATAGGCACTAGGATCGTTATAATAACTTATAAGTATAACAAACACCACACTTCGTAATGACATTGAATTTCATTAAGTGAAGGAATCAAGAGTTTTACTGAGGGTCCTCCCAAACAAAAAGCCCCTGTCGCCACTTGTGAACCAATTTTACGACCTTAATTTTGAAAGTCCCCCATGCCAATAATTACGCGATTTTTACTTCATAAGTTACCTTACAAGCGGTTCATTATTCTCCTCAAGTTATGTGCTGTAGAGTGCTAATTATAATTTTGTTAACCTAGCAGTCTGTAAGGAGCCGTGAACGACCTTGCGTTTGTGCTTTGTATCTTCTTGTCGTGTGGTTATGCAAATCAAATTGCATTTATTTTAAAGCACCCTCTGTGTTGTTTGGGGCCCACTTAAAGAGAGTATAATTATTTAAATATTTGTATAGAAAACTGCTGTAGTTACGCTATTCATTATTAGGTACCAGCACATTCTAACGAAAAAAACTTTGTCCTTTACTATGGGTACTTCTCTTTTCAGGCAATCCCAGCCTTAAATCTGTGCTAGTAGGTACACGTACACTACCTACCGTATAGTACACATTGCCTTCTTGTAATGCACAATTCGCTGCCTTTGTAAAAGCATGACAATTTCCTTATGTCCCGACACCTACGTCCAGATAATGGAATTTAAAGGTGTTCCCATTTCAAAGGGAGTATTGAGGCATACCTATTGAATATTGAAAAATTTGATACCCGCGCTAATTAAAAAACTGGAAGCAGTAACAAACATTTGTCAGGAAGTTTTTGGTATTTGTAGGGGCGAAATACGCATTTAAAGTCGTTTCTCCAAGATAACTTATCTATAAATGAAGTTGGAACAATTTTCAAAATTGCTATAGGTTCGTAAAGTTATATTTAGGCGAGGGGTTGGTCACGGAGGAGATTTCTCGTTTCGAGCTAAGGCAATCCGAGGATATTCGAGGAGATCTATAGGGAGATTCGAGGAGATCCGGGGAGATTCGAGGAGATCCGGGGAGATTCAAGGAAATCTGAGGAGATTCGAGGAAATCCGAGGAGATTTTGAGGAGATTCGAGGAGATTCCGAGGAGATTCAAGGAGATTCTGAGGAATGCGAACTGCAAAGCGTCGCGTAAGCAACGTTGTGGAAATTTCCGATCCTCGCTCGCAGTTTTGACTCACCAACTTGCAACGCATCTAGGAGGGGTTTATCTTTGTTTTGTGCAAGCACATGCGTTTGTTGCTTTCTATTTTTAGTTTCATCCGCATAAAGCATGTGATTTGTGCAAAATTTATGTTGTGTAATGTGTTGTGAATAAGGATTTCGATGAAGGTAAGTAAAAAAGTGTTTTTTTTTCTACATATTCATAGATTAGGTATAAACACAACAAAAGGTACATTTTCAATTGCACTTAGAAATTTGCTGTCCAGATTGAGAGAAAATTAATGGGTATTTTTTTAGAATAAAAACTTGGTTTTTGTAGACACTGCACCAATGTATCTTAGCCGCAAATTGGTTCTTTATTTACCTTTGCATTTATGGTTATAATAAGCAGTGTTAATACCTCGTATTTCTCCTTCGACTTTAGTTTAATATTTTTTCAAGGTAAATAATATATCATTTTCATTAGCACTGCGCTTATACGAAGTGCGTCAAAAATATTATTTGGGGCAAACTCCTAGTGGCGGCGCACTTTGACAAAATGCATGAAGATTTATTTCAATTCCACCTCGAATTTCACACTTTATCTGTAATTAGGTCTTAAGTGCTAGTGATACATCCGAGGATACATCGGATGTTACCACAGATGTATCTACCCCTTTTTCAAACATTGCTTCTGTCCTTCATTTCAGCGTGCTGACCTACCATTTTGTGGCTTGACTATGGGCTCGAATATGAATAACGAACACACAACCAACAGTGCGTACCAAGGTACGGACGAATTTGAGAAAGAAATACCAGCATTACCTCAAGATTTAAAAAATGTTTTAAAAATTTCGGGTTATTACAATATTGAATCATTAAGTAACATTACAAACGATGATATACAGGCAATAGAACAGTTTGGAAGGGAGGAACTAACCAGTTTAATAGACGAAGCCGAGTACGAGCAATATTTCGGAGTGTATAAAAGAGTACCACAAAAGTTTAAACTATTACCTGGTCATAAGAAGTTGTTAAAAATCGCATCAGAGACACTTAAAAAAAAATTAAACGAACAAAAAAATATTCAAAAGTTTCAAAATCCATTAAGTTCTCGACAACGTAATTGCCCAAAAACTCAAGTGAGAGAGGAAGTTATTGATTTGCATTTAGAAAAAAATAATTTAAGAAAAGAGCTCTTAAAAAAGTGCAAAGATATAATTCAGGAAGCAACTTTAGATTTAAACAAAAAAAGTGAATATCTTACCAGATTGGACAATATTGAGGTAACTGTTCAAATAGGGCACAATGATGACCTGTTTGGCACAGTCTGTTGTATATTATGTCAAAATAAAGTAAAACTTTTTTTTGAACAGCGAAAAAGTACTTGCGCTCCGCGGTGGTTAAGAGGAAATTTCTACAAGCATTTTAAAGCGCACTTTTACACCAAGATCCCTGCCAACAAATCAACTTTAGTGTCAAACGAAATCGAGAATGAAACGAATTCCCAAGGCAATTGTCGTCCAAATAAAAAATTTAAGACAATGCTCAATTATTTAGAAAAACCCTCGGAAAACCCCAAAATCGATTTTTTAAGTGTGTCGGGCATCGAAAAAAATTCGAGTAATACTAGTCACGTTGTTTCGCACATCGATTGTGAATTTAATCTCCAATCAGAACCCAAACGTCCCAAACCATCGTCAACAATAACCTCGACAATAACTAACGATCAAACTCGTGATCAACTAACGAATCAACAAGCGTGCACTAAAAAAGTTAATGTAATACAAAATGTGTTACTGAACACAAAGTCTGATGATACAGTGAAATCTCGGGTGGAATTTGAAAACAAATCAGAGGAGAATTTAAAAATTCCAGATCGAGCTGCAAATTCAAGAAGTGACAGGATCAAACGCAAATTATCTGTAATACCTCAAAATCAACCCTATATAACAACATTTTTCCCTTATGTAAATAGCGTAGAGAAAGTGATGCAAGAAAATGCAGAATTAAAAAGATTATTTTTGGATAACTGTAAAAAAATAAATGTTTTTGAAAACCATCCCAATGAAAGTAGCGACGACGAGAATATCAAAGGTTTGTTAAATTTGCTAATCAAAACAGCCACAGCAAATAACAATAATACAAAGAAAAGCAATAAGTACAACCTCACCTTAAAGAAATTCTCTAATTATCTATTTATCATCGGAGGCAGATTACTATACGAGACTTTATATCTAAATTTGAATGGAGCTTTGCCTTCTATATCTACTGTACAACGTGAACTATTCAAAAATTGTTCCATCGAAGAAGGTGTTCCAAGAATCAAGCAGCTGAGTGAACATCTATCGAAACGCAATTTTCCAAAAACAGTGTGGCTTAGTGAAGATGGAACACGTATTAATGGCAGGATCCAGTATTGTGCATCAACCGATACAAATGTGGGGTTTGTATTACCTATTAATCCTAATGGATATCCAAACAATATGGCATTTAAAGTAAGTATAAGAGATTTTTTTCGAAAGTTCACAAAGATTTTTTTGTATGTTTAGGCAACATCAATCCAGGAAGTTAAAAGACAGTTTCAGGAAGAGAGTAAGGCTAACTACACCTATGCGTTGGTGGCCCAACCTCTTATAGCTAAAAGTCCGCAATTTTGTTATTGTCTGTATGGCACAGACAATAGGTTCTCCTCCAGTGATGTGCTTCAGCGATGGAGAACCACAATAGCTATGGCCAAAGATAATGAAATTGAAGTTCTTGGCATGTCATCTGATGGGGACAGTAGATTACTAAAGGTAATGAAGTATGTAACAAAGTTATCTTCCGCGCAAAACAATGATGGATGGCCGTGGTTTCATGCTGAACTTAACAACCCTGAAGTAATATGCGTACAAGATACTACACACATAGGAACTAAACTGAGGACTCGACTAATTAAACCAGGAATATTATTGCCGTTTGGAGACTATATAGTTTCCAGTGATCATTTAAAATATATTATAGAACATTTTTCAAAAGATGTGCACCGTTTAGTGCTAACTGATATTAATTCTCAAGATAAAATGAATTTCACCGCGGTGTTAAAAATATGTGATGCAAAAGTATTAGATTTATTAAAAAGTGCAGTTCCAAACAGCGAAGCGACTATCTTATATTTGACTATTGTAAAGAACGTTCTGGATGCTTACATGCAACAGGATATCAAATTGGATGAAAGATTGTATAAGATATGGTATAGTGTATTTATACTACGAATCTGGAGGCAGTGGATTAAAGAATCCGATATATATACATTGAAAGACAATTTTATCACATTAAATAGCTATACGTGCATTGAATTGAATGCTCACGCCATGATTTTACTTATCAGAAAATTTGTTAGTGACAATAATTTGTCACCGAACATGTTTCTTCCCCATCTTATGAGTAGTCAGCCTTGTGAGCAGCTATTTAGAGCTACGAGATCCATGACCAGTACCTACTCTACTGTGGTGAATTACAGCATGTTAGAAATTTTACATAGGTTAAACCGTATTCACTATCTAGAAGATGCAAAGCATGAACTTCAAGGAAATTTCAATTTTCCCAAGAGAATGAGAGTCAGCACTACAACTGAAACTTACTATGAACCCATGACTGATTGTGATATAGAAGCTGTAGTATTAAAGTCACAAAAAGACGCAATACATACTGCTGAGAAAATGGGAATCATAAACTGCGACAGATGGACATCTATGATGGAGCTGAACAAGGTACAAATAGATGTAGATTGTGACGAAAAATCAAATGCTGGTAATGAAGAGGACGGCGACCGAATCGATGATGTTGTGCAATGCGAGGTGCCATGTGACGAACAAAGTACGGATACATCAAACAATAATACATTGATAGAAGCGATTCAAGAAAATGGTGATGATGATGTGGATGCAGAGGACACTGAGGTATTGAAGCAATGCTTCGGCGAATCGTTAGACTTAAAGGATTACACAGAGAAGGTGGACCTAGATACAAATAATCTATCAGGAGGCCCGTATTTAAAAGTGGTTTTGAAAAATGGTGCCACTAAAACCGTAAAAAAATCTTCAGTATGTTGGATGCTAAATGAAAATATATCAAGATTGAGTGCTGACCGATTATATAGGTTTAAAGGCCAAACGAATAAAAAAAATATAGTGTTAAACAAAAATAGAAAATGTATTAAATATGTAACCGAGGATGAAAAAAACTCTAAAAATCAAGTAAGGAAACGTAGAAGCCGAGATAACAGCTCATCAGAATCGGAATTGGAAATTGAAAATATCGGCCTTCACGATTCAGAAGACATTTCAGATGAAGAACCGAAAAAGATAAGTAAAGTCAACGTAAACATTTTGAATGAACATTACTATGCTGTGAAGTACGATGCTGCGTGGTATATAGGGAAAGTGGTCAATGCAAAGAAAGAAGGGTTGGTGCAAGTGAAATTTCTGAAAGAAAATCTTCAACATTTTTATTGGCCTAAACAAGAGGACGTACAAAACGTGGAAGTGATTCAAATTTTTTACGGACCTATAAAAATGTTAGGTTCAAAACCTATGAGTTTATCGTGGTCAGACAGACAACAAATTTGTAATTTATACAAAAATTTAAAAAAAAGTTAATTACTTAAACTTTACTTTGTTCCCTCGTTTGTTCCTATCGTTAATATTAGAATGTATTCAATAGGTATCGATAAGTAGAAACAGTGTTATTTTGTTTTTTTTAATGTCCAGTAATTATATTTGATTTTACATTTTTTTAATAGAAGCATAACTGTTTTTTTTAGTACGTTTTATTTTGAAATACTCGTGCGCAATGTGGTAAGTATTGTTTTGTTATTTACGTTTCTACAAATTGGAAATCAAATCCTCATTTTTTAAACATTATACATATACCTATTATCACCAATCTAAAAAAATCCGGAAATTCAAATGAAATCCATGAGATACAGAAGATTAAGTATATTGCGATCCAGAGGAGATCCGAGGAAATTCGGGGGAGATTTGAGGAGATCCGAGGAGATTTGGAGGAGATCCAAGGAAATTTGAGGGAGATCCAGGTGATTTGGTGGAGATCCAAGGAGATTCGGAGGAGATCCGAGGAGATACAGGAGATTTGGAGGAAATCCGAGGAGATTTTGTGAGGAGGCAATCTTTCGTACCAAATAATGTGTAGTGAATAACCCCTCGTATTTAGGCAATAACGCCAGGAGAATTTGTTTCCATTTTTCTTTTTCAAAATATAGCACCCTAACAGCCCTCGACGTTACCAGTAAAAAAAGAGTATTTCAAAACATTTTACGAAATCCCGGCATTATTGTCCTCTAGCTAAAGCATTCGCCTTTCACAGGAATATTCGACCCCTTCTGCATTTTCACACAGAATTCAGATAACGTGGAACAAAATCAAGCGTTTCCGGGCAACGGAACGGATGTACTGCGCATTATCAAATTGGTTTGGGCACGTTGTCCTTCACTGTGCAGCATACTTGCATATCAACAGCATCAAATGTCCACGAAAATAATTTCTTGGAATTCTTGCAGATTTAGAAGATGCTATAGCTAATATTCTAGAAATCCCGATAGACATCGAAGCGCCATAAAAGATTAGTAATAAGAAACGAAAGGGCCATTTCCACTTAAACTAGATCGAGTCTTGCTGAGTTGAGGTTTGTCAATTCCGGATAAGCTAGGTATGTAAAATGATTTTAGCCCATTTTTTTTGGGCATTTAAAAATCTTTCACACGCTCCCAGAGCTAGTATATCAAAAATTTGTCTTGAAAATCTTTTATATTTTATTCAACAGGTTTCCAAAGAAGTTCAAAAGATCACCAAAAATCTTAGAGAGCCCATTACAATGTTTTAAATTCTTCATTCTTTTTAAGAATTATCTTTCTAAGGGCATTTGTGTACCCTTGAGAGATTTTGAGAATCTTTTAGGATTTTTATGGGCTTTAAAGATATATCTCTTAAACGTTCTAGAAATCTTAAATTTTAAGAGTTTTACTTTTAAAGATTTTCGAAAATTGTAGAACCTTTAAGACTCCCAAGCAGCCATTGTGTGTCTTTAAAGATAATTGAGAATCGCCTCCAGTCTCGAAAAGTCTCCAAAAGCTTCCATAGCCTCATGAATACTTTAGAACCTTTTACGATATTTTAGTGTTTAAGAGCTTTGAAGAGTCTTTAAGAGCTGAACATTGGAGAGGAAGGCTCTTAAATCATTATGGCCATCTAAGAGTCTAGACTCCCCAAGAGCCTTATACATAGCTTTTAAACCGTTGAAGTATTTATTTATTGCCCTCCCTTGTTCTGGGTCCTCAACCTTTTGCTAGGTGGCATTGGCGTTTGGACATTTTTTAGATCATTTTATGTTTAAGTTTTTACATCGCCAGTAGATGTCTGGTCTAAACGATTCCGCCCTTCGAGAATACCCCCCTCCGACACACCGTTCTGCAGATGTTTGCACTAAAAATGTTGACATCACCAGTAGATGTGTCTTTTTATGAGTACCCTCTTGCAACACTTCGTTTTCAAGATATTCGCTTCGACTTCGCCAATAGATATGTCTCGTCCACGCAATTCGTTTTGCCTTTGAGAGTACTTTCCTCCGACAAAGCATTTTCGAAATATTCGCTTGTACAGTTCTGACAGTACCGATGGATATATTTCTTCCAAACGTCCCAGTGAGATCCGACAATCTGTTCTTGAGATATAAGGAATTGTGTCCGATTATCCCGATTACGATAAGGGATAGAGAGGCGGACTGTAGACTGTGTGCAAAATCTGAGACGAATTGGTTGTTGCATGCAAAAGTTATGCACGTTTTACTTTCAAAAACAGCATCTCAGGAAATAACGCATGTCCCCCCCCCCCCCCACCTATTGCAAAACATTTCAGGACTCTAAGAGCATTCCCCTAAAATTAGTTCAACACGACAGAAATGGGTCGGACGGACAAAACGCAAACAATAGCACATTTGGTTTAATTTTTAAAAAAGTGCGTTATGAACGTGGGTCCGGTCTGATAGTTTTGAAACACGCATTTTTGCATACAAAAGATATCAGTTTCAGGAGATGATTTAGTAGGGTTAAACTGCATCTGCATAAGCGAGACGAATTGGGGGCCGAGGGTGGGTCATTGTGAGTTTCATAATCTTATATTTGAATATCAATTTTGGAGATTCCTCAAAACTACTAGATTCGAAGTGATTTCAAGAGTCCTTTAGGAACTTAATAATCCAGAAGAAACTTTAGTCCTTATTGAGCCTATAGGTTTTTACTCGGGTTTTTATAAGAGAACATGAGAGCCTTTAAAGACTTTAAAAGATTTCAAGAAACTTTAAGAAAATTTAGCAACCTTTAAGTAGTGGTTATTTTGATCCATAAGACGTCAAATGTCTCCAAGAATTCACAGTGGGTTTTACAACATTTTATGGCCGAATATCCGAACCCTGAAGAGTTTCTAGCTCATTTTTCGAGCTATATTTACGATCTTAAAAAAAGTATATCGGAGCTTTTCAAATGTGCCGACAGTGTGCAACTGCAAGGGATCGAAAGGAGTCCAAAACTCAAAAGTATTCTAAAAGTCTTTAGCAAACCTTGTTCTTAAAAGTACTCCTTAAAAATCTCTAATGCATTTAATAGTCCGAGTCATAAGTTCATAACTAATCTCAACGGACTACGAAATACCTCAAAGAGTCTCCGTGAGTTTTAAACAAGCTTATACAGTGCTTGACAACTCTTAAGAGTCGAAGTTCCAACGTCCCTTTTTTACGTCATTTAAACTTTAATAGCATAGTCTTTAAGGATCTCGAACGTTGAAGAACCTTTAACGCCATCAAGAAGCCTATATCAAAATAAACCTGATAATTTTTTATTCAAGCATGTTGTTGTGAAATAATGTCATGGTCTTCGGGATTATTACATATAAATATACATTCGCGTGAGTAATTACGCTTAATTTTTCTATTGATTCATTGAATACTTCGAATGCTATTCGTAGTCGAAGCATTTGTAGATTATTTTTGAGGTGCTGCTCCACTCATGCTAGTTACGCTAATTAGAGTACCTAGCATTCCTGACAGCACCTCAAAATATTCGACAATACTTCGATCGCGACTTCGATTACTAATGGTATTCCTGACAGCACCTCAAAAACATTCGACAATACTTCGATCTCGACTTCGATTACTCACGGTATTATATATCAATATCGAACGCGTTTCAACAACTAGACTGTCATCGTCAGCAAACAACTGCTGTTCGATATTGGCGTTTGCATACCATGACCAGAGATGACCCTAACGAAATAAGTCATCAAATTTGGTTAAGACATATAAATATTGGTACTGCACTGTAACTAAAGAGGCCGGTTAAGGTGATGGATCTTAAAATACTTGTCCTTTTCGAAAAGTAATACTCCTAAGATAATTGATAGTACTTTGGACACATCTTTTAAGTATTTACACATAGATAACTATTTTCAGTGACAGTTGCGGTACAAAACAGCTCGTTATCTGTATAATGCTTTAAGTACAAAAGGACACAGATCAAAATAATACCTTCTTAAAAGATCTCAGAATTGAACGTGACAAAAATACAAATTTTATCTACTTGCAATCGGACGATTACGCTTTATCAACATTATGTTAACGTACTTATGTTGTATGGTTGAATAAAATTGATAAAACGCAATAATGGAAATTTCTCACTGCATCATGAATATTCCCCGAGATATTCCCCTAGTTTTGCTGACCTTTTTTAGTCGTTCGAGTGTTCCACTTCGAACATCAGTGCCAATTAAACACACTTCAAATGTGCTATCGAAATTTGTTGAATGGGCTTTAAGATGATCAAACTACTTAAACTGGTATCACTGGTGCCCTATGCGATCGTTATATATATGAAATCGGCACAATTTCAAGTAAGAAACCTCTCTACAAAAAGTATATCCTGGTCTGAGTGAAATTTGTGCTTTCGACGTGCAAACCTACCTACATTATATCATGGAAATGCGCATCTTTGAAATAAATTAATGTAAGCGCAAATTATACCACAATAATTGCAAGGAAGCACACTTAGTCATACAAGAAAATTGCGAAATTAAGAATGATGCGTTACTATTATAGAATTTTACATTTGTCATTTTATCAACTTCTATTTAGTTATTTCGCTTCCTACACAACTCATACACTAGTACAGTTAATTACTGCACTAAAAAATACAACATCCAAGATTTATATTATCGACTCTACATTGTGCTTTCATGACATATGTCAGAAGTACAAAATATGTTATGTGCAAAAAAGTTGCACAACTAATACTGCTTCAATTTAATGATCATAAATATGAACACTTCTGTTTGCCTTTCTATGTAGTGAAGGGAAGTGCAATTAGATTTGTTACAACTACAGGTTTACATTACAACACTTCTATTGTAATTCAATTTATTTTAAATTAAACTGGATTAAGACAAGGTGTCATTAAGCAACCGCCTAATTAAAATAAAGTAAACAAGTTGGCAGTTAAATTGATATTCTGATTCAATCATTATCGGACCGCTTATTCATCGCATGAGCTTAGAATTGAACTACGGACTACGGGTTGTGGTTTTGTGGTCTTGGCCAGCGGTTGGTGGTTACAACTTAACCGGAACCCTTATCCTAGAAGGCCAAAGGTATTTTACACACCGCACGTATTCGCTCAGGCATTTCAGAATTTCAAAATGTAATTTAAGTAAACCGCAAATAACTACATATACCCGT